CCAACATAGTCACGGGAATGTAAAGTACAGCAGTCAATATTGTGGTAACTGTATGGTGCCAGGTGCGTACTGGAAATATCAGGAGTGGAGAGTGGGGGTCACTTTGTAAAGTACATGATTATTTAACCACTATGCTGTATACCCAAAACCAAGACAAAATAATATTGAAAGTAAATTATAATTGAAAAATAAAAAAGTTTTTAAAGTTTAGGTAGCAAAGATAAATGAGACATATTTAGAAGTAAAAGTGATAGACCCTAGCTGGTTTGGATTAGTGGATAGAGTGTTGACCTGCAGACTGAAGGGTCCTGGGTTCAATTCCAGTCAAGGGCACATGCCCGATTTGTAGGCCCAATCCCCAGTAGGGGGCGTTCAGGAGGCAGCTGATCAATGATTCTCTCTCATCATTGATGTTTCTATCTCTCCCTTCCTCTCTGAAATCAATAAAAATATATATTTAAAAGAGAAGAAGAAAAGAGAACCTGAACTGCCCTTGGGATAGAAGTTCTCAAACTATCTTCAGAGCAACTACCCTAAAATATAAATATAAATAATCAGTATGCCTGTTTGGTGAAATCTATGAACTTAATCAAGGACAACCACACATGTCAATTATGAAACATTTAAAATATATTTCTAAACAGAATGGGTCCATTTAGTCACAGTAACTGCTGATCTCCATAGCAGAGCAACCCACAAACACATAGCACTGATTTTTTTTTTTTCCCATAATCAGGGGTGAAAAATATACAACTTGTTTCTGAACCAAAACCACAATTTCTGCAGTTGAAAATGTTTCACTGCTAATATGGCCCTGGTAGAAATTATGTAATTTTATTTCCTTTAAAAAAAATTAAAAAAATTTTCTAAGACACTAAATCATCAATCTGGAATGTAAATTCTGAGCACAAAGCAGCTCAGTTCGCCTAAAAAAATAAAGAAAAAAATTCCCATCACCTGTTTCAGTAGGGCCTGAAGGGAGAGTAGTAGTGTGGGGAACCCCTGCTTTGGTATGGAGAGTCACGGCCTCTTGACCCAGACCGAGACCGTGAGTAGCCATAGCTGGTGCTTCTCTCTGGATAAACTCTGATGTAGGAAGTTTCACCCTGAAATTCAAACAAAAAGTAAAAGGTAAAATAAGACCCAGAATAACAAAGTCTACCAACACCTAGCATAACTGCCTAACAATAATAGCGATGTATTAAGCACTAACTATTTGCCTGGCACAATATCAATCTCATCAAACCACCACAATTCTATTGGGGTAGGTACTCTTACTAGTCCATTTCAAGAATGCTCTCATCTGCTCAAGGTGACACAAATAATAAATCGTAACTTGACATGTGTAAATGCTCAAGTGCTAGCTATTACTGCTAACATATCTTAATAACTGCCACTAACCCCCTAAAATCTAAGAACTAGAAAGGCTCTCAGAGATTATATATATTATATGGAGGGGCAAAAGTAGGTTTACAGTTATTCATATGGAAAAACAAAGTAATTAATAAATACAAAAATAAACTGTTTCACATACTCTCAACTGTAAACCTACTTTTGTCCTACCCTGTACTAGTATAGTTCAATCCCCTGCTGCCTCATATGCATCTTTCAATGGGTACCTATGGAAGGAGTTAACCTGTATTCAGCATCTCCCAGGTGTCAGGACTTGGGCTAGATGCTTTAGTTTTTTCATAATTTAACTTACCAGCAAGTCTTATAACACAGTTCTATTCTGACTATTTTGCATATGGAGGAACCAGAATTGAGAGTAGCTCAGCTAAGCAGCAGGAGTCACGTTCAGTTTGGCCTTTCTCCAAGCCCTTTGCCATCAGCCACCATTTTCAGAAAATCTAAATATGCTAAAAGGAAAGAGCAAGATGCTTTTCCCCTACGTGAAGTCAATAATTGGATTTAACCTGAAGTTCTGCTTTGCATGTATTTGACTAGGTGCTATTGTATTTCTGCTCCAATTTCAAGTCCTAAGAGTTAGTCTGAGCAAAAGCATTGTTAAGCCATACATCCCTCACCCCATAACATTAGGGAATTATATGAATCCTTAGAAAAAGAATGGGCCTAGATATTCATATCTTTAGACATCCCTAAACCCGATAGCAAGTCAGGCAAGATAACCAGAAAAAAAAAAGTCCAATTGGTCTAATATCTGGTCTCAATGGTATCAAAGGGATAATCACCATTCGAATCAGATTGAGATATCCAAAGCAGCAGCTGCCTTTTTTAAAAAAATGTATTTTTTTTATTGATTTCAGAGAGGAAGGGAGAAGGAGAGAATCAATGATTGGCTGCCTCCTGCACACCCCATACTAGGGATCAAGCCCCCAACCCAGGCATGTGCCCTTGACCAGAATCGAACCTGGGACCCTTCAGTCCGCAGGCCGAAGCTCTATCCACTCAGCTAAATCGGCTGGGCAGCAGCTGCCTTCTTGAAAGGACATCCAGAACTAAGCCCTGAGGGTGAGGTGATCAACCACAAAAAAATAACAAGGTGGCTCAGGTTCCAAAAAGGATCCTGCACTACTTTGGGAAAGAACAATGAAGTGACAACTCTGCCCCAATAGCAGTATCTAGAAAGGCTGAGATGCGGCTGGCTTGCAGAGCCCATACTAGACCCAGAGGAGAGATAGCCATAATATTTAGGTTCACAGAGACATTAAAGATTAAGCCAGTTATGAGAAGGATGTTATCACAATAGCTCACCACATTATGACAGACTGCACAGTATTCTCTCCAGATTAAAAATGCTATGAATGCAGATTTCCCTCTGTTATGACCCTGCAGGGCTTAGGCATGATGAATTCCTTGGCTTTGTCCACTTAAGATAGATCTTTAATGGTACTGTGAGGTCATCAAGTGGCAAATGCATGGCCTGTTGCTACTCTGCTAGGTCAGCTTCAGGTGGAGTGGACTGGCTACAAGCTCAACAGAAGGTGGGGACCCACCTCATGAGAGCGGAATTTGGTGTCATCCAGTTTACGCAGGGCATATTCCATGTCTTCTTTTCTGAGATACTCAACCATCCCCATTCCATCCTTCTGCACATCTGCGTAACAGACGTCCCCAGCTTCTCGCATGTGATCCTTCAGGTCCTGCCAGCTTCCTGAGGGAGGAAGTCCTAGGTATGGAGAACATAAGAGGCCAATCCTTCAGCTGTGTGAAATGTCCTGTTAAGAGCCAGCAATACCTCAGGTCCCTTCTCCATCACTACTTTTAAATCCTGAGAATTCCCAAATCACAAATCTGGGTAAGGGACACGAAATCAAAGAGCACTAAAGTATAGGTGGCAAACCACCTTAAGAAGCTAGTCCTAGAGTCCTCACTGGTTTGATTCAGTGGGTAGAGCATTGGCTTGTGAACCGAAGTGTCCAGGGTTCAGTTCCGGTTAAGGGCATGTAATTCGGTTGCAGACTCCTCCCTGGCCCAGAAGGCAACCAATGCATGTGTTTCTCTCACATTGATATTTCCCTCTTCCACTTTCTAAAAATCAATGTAAAAATATCCTCAGATGAGGATTAAAAAATAAAAATAAATATGTAGAATCAGATATTCTTAAAAAAGCTAATCCTAGGCTAATCTTCCAGAACAAGCCTCCCCAACATAGCAAGAAGTCCATCTCATTATAGTTTTAGTATCTCTTGAGAATTCATAGCCTCTCTTTCTTTGTCCCTCAATTAATACTAAACTCCCAAGATTTTGAGTTCTTTATTCCATATGAAATATTTCAGTACCAATCAATGATTTTTTTTAAAATATATTTTTATTGATGTCAGAGAGGAAGGAAGGGAGAGAGATAGAGAGTTAGAAACATCGATGACAGAGAAACATCGATCAACATCAATGGAGAATCATCGATCGGCTGCCTCCCGCATGCCCCCCACTCGGGATCGAGCCCACAACCTGAGTTCATGCCCTGACCAGGAACCAAACCGGTGACCTCTTGGTTCCTGGGTCGATGCTCAACCACTGAGCCACACCCATCTGGGCAATCAATGATTTCTTGCCTGACAGGGTTCCTAGGACATGGGAATTTGAAACCATCCAATGAAATAACCAAAATGTAATGGAAGTTAACAAAAATCTAAAGTTTTGGTTTTTTGTAGGTGTGATTAACTGACAAACACCTCTTAAGAGATCACCAATATTCTTCAATACAGTGGGGGAAAGGTAAGACTCAGACGCTAAAACTAGCGGGAAGTCATACAACCCTACCTGATGTCATGAAAGGGATATGTGCTCCTGCTCTCAAAGGCTGTGTTTACCGCTCACAGCTCAGGACTGCAGCCATTTCCTAACAGTTTTCTAGGTAGGATTTCAGAGCAGCATGGAGAGGAAAAAACAACTGTATGACTTCTTGAAGGAGGGAACAGAGTCCTGGGGTTAAAAAAATTAAGAAGGCCCTGGCCAGTTTGGCTCAGTAGATAGAGTGTCGGTTTTCGGACTGAAGGGTCCTGGGTTCGATTCCAACCAAGGACACATGCCCGGGTTGCGGGCTCGATTCCCTATAGGGGATGTGCAGGAAGCAGCCAATCAATGACTCCTTCTCATCATTGATGTTTCTCTCTCTCCCTCTCCCTTCTTCTCTAAGATCAATAAAAATACATTATAATAATAACAAATAAAAAGCCCTAGCTGGTTTGGCTGTGGATAGAGTGTCGGCCTGTGAATTGAAGGATCCCAGGTTTGATTCCCAACAAGGGCACAAGCCGGGGTTGCGGGCTCAATCCCCAGTTGGGGGCCGGGGGGAGGGGGGCGTTCAGGAAACAACCAATCAATGATTCTCTCTCATCACGGATGTTTCTCTCTTCCTCTCTGAAATCAATAAAAATATATTTTAAAAAAATGAAATTAAGAAGGGACACAATAGGCCAGTGACGGTGAACCTATGACACGCGTGTCAGAGGTGACACACGAACTCATTTTTTTGGTTGATTTTTCTTTGTTAAATAGCTTTTAAATATATAAAATAAATATCAAAAAATTTCTATATGTGACAAGGCACCAGAGTTAAGTTACGGTTTTTCAAAATGCTGACACAGCGAGCTCAAAAGGTTCGCTGTCACTGCAATAGGCAGACACTGAGTATCACTCTTTTTTTTTTTTAAATATATTTTACTGATTTTTCACAGAGAGGAAAGGAGAAGGATAGAGAGTTAGAAACATCGATGAGAGAGAAACATCGATCAGCTGCCTCCTGCACACCTCCCACTGGGGATGTGCCCGCAACCAAGGTACATGCCCTTGGCCGTAATCGAACCTGGGACCTTTCAGTCCGCAGGCCGACGCTCTATCCACTGAGCCAAACCGGTTAGGGCTGAGTATCACTCTTAAGCACAATGGGAATCAGCTGTGATTGTGATATTCACATAGAAAAAGGTGCCAGGCTCCCCAAGACATTTTACTCCACCAGGACCCTAAAACACCCACAAAATGTGCAAAAGCTCCCAGGTCTTTACCAGTGTTGTTATTTCAAAAGATGAATAAACCTGAGCATATTATTTTATCACTTGTCAATCTAGATATTTTGTTCTATATTATGAAATACAATCTGTAAGACACTAAGTTGTTTTTCTTATTTTATACGAGAGAGGCTCCTGTCACCACCGCCGCCAGCCATGAGCCCTGCTTCTGAGCTTCTGGGCTTCTGGTTGAGTGGAGCTTTCCCTGTGGGAGTGCACTGACCACCAGGGGGCAGCTCCTGCATTGAGCATCTGCCCCCTGGTGGTTAGTGAGCATCAGAGTGACTTGTCATTCAGCCGTTCCGTTTATTTGCATATTACCCTTTTATTATATAGGATAAGCCCAAAACCAACATAAAAACTGGTCTTTTTTCAGGATTCACAGCTGGGTAAGTTGTTTAAATCTGGCTTCTGGAATATCTTTTCAAGTCCAATACCATGGTACATTAAAAAAAAAAAACCCAGCCCTGGCTGGTCTGGCTCAGTGGATAGAGCGTCGGCCTGCGGACTGAAGGGTCCCGGGTTCGATTCCGGTCAAGGGCATGTGCCTTGGTTGCGGGCACATTCCCAGTAGGGGGTGTGTGAGAGGCAGCTGATCAATGTTTCTGGCTCTCTATCCCTCTCCCTTCCACTCTGTGAAAAGTCAATAAAATATATTTTTTTAAAAATCCTTAGAATTACAGCTCAAGGGGTTTTGCTATCATTTTCCCTTTCAACACTAGAAAACTCCTTTATAAGAAACACGTTTGCTCTAGCTGGTTTGGCTCAGTGGATACAGCGTGGGCCTGCAGACTGAAGGGTCCCAGGTTCAATTCTGGCCAAGAGTACATGCCTGGGTTGTGGGTTCGGTCCCCAGTGTGGGGCGTGCACGAGGCAATGAATCAATGATTTTCTCTAATCATTGATGTTTCTATCTTTCTCTCCCTCTCCCTTCCTCTCTGAAATCAATAAAAATATATTTTTTAAAAAAACAACACCTTTATGTTCTAACAAGGCTACTACTGGTGCAGTTTCATTTGCAAGATACCTCCCTCACTGGCAAGACAGGGAAGGGTTTCAGACTGTCAGTGTGCATAGACTAAGGGGAAAAAAAACCCATGTATGCATGCACTGAAGAATAACAGCTAACATTTCTTGAGGCCAGACTGTGCTAAGTATTTTACATGCATCATCTCATTCGGTTTGAAAGAAACATACCTGAAACAAGAACTCGGAAATCAGATCTTCTTGTAGGAGGTCCATTCCTCCCACCACGGGGCCACCCACCCCGACCTCCATAAGCTCTGGGGAACTCCACACGAAGTCGACACTGGCCATAATCATAACCATTCCTTCCATAAACTGCATCTTCAGCATCTCTGCAAAGAAAAATTTGGTGTTAGTGCTGCTCAGGAGGCTGAATGACTCCCAGTGAGGGGCATAAGTACCAAGTATGAAAGGAAAACCTAGAGTGAGAAAACAAAACAGGATCTTGATGCAATACTGCTTTGAAGACTTTTCATAATATTGGAATTAAACTTTACAGGTATCACACATGAAGTTTTCTAGGTATGAAATGATAGTGAATGGATAAACAAATTACTTACAGGAGGACTAATTTAGAAACAAACAAAAAAAGGAATAAATAGATGACCGATTTTGCCAATAAAAGTGTTTAACTTTGGAGTGCAGTTTCTCAAAATGCATACCACACATTAGTCCTTTAATATTCTTCAACAAGGCCTAGTATCATCAAGTCTATAGAAAGAAAAACCCATTTAAAAAGAAAGCACAAGCCCTAGCCGATTTGGCTCCGTGGATAGAGCGGCGGCCTGCGGACTGAAGGGTCCTGGGTTCAATTCCAACCAAGGGCACTTGCCCGCATTGCGGGCTCAATCTCCAGCAGGAGGCGTGCAGGAGGCAGCCAATCAATGATTCTCTCATCATTGATGTTTCTCTCTCTCCCTCTCCCTTCCTCTCTGAAATCAATAAAAATATATTTTAAAAAAAAAGCTCAAAAGACAAATGCAATTTAGTGTTTTGTGAGGAACATAAAACTCCCTCAAGCGTATGTTTGTTTCAGCATGGTTTGGAGAAGTTGTCAAGACCACTATCTGGGTACAATTTCCCCAAAGAAGATAAAGTTACTCTTAGTTTTTTGTAGGCTCTAGGACAGGCAGGAACACTAAACTGACTCTCCAGGACTGCATGAGAGAATGGCCGCAGGGCTTGGTGGACAAGTGGAGCTGAAGAGATACTAAGGAAGGCCTCCTTCAGTTGTCACAGGCACATGTCACTTACGATTTTAGTCCTAGAATTAAAAGCAAGGAGACCACATCCGGGGCCACCCTGGCTGTATTTATAATGCAGTGGCAGAGAGGCAGGCCTGCTAAGGTTTAAAGCAGACTTCTAGCACCATCATTCTTCTGGTCTTCGCTAGTAGCTGTCTCTGGGTAAGGAGTCAGGTTTTCACATCTTAATCACTGATGTCTTTCTCACAAGGTTACTCTTAGGATTAAATAAGATCCTATGTGTGTGGTGCTTTGCTTGAAACTTGGCAACTAGTGATATCAAATGGTAGCTTTTCTATTATTAAGGAAATGAGGGAAGAGATAATGATGTTGCATATTATACAGTAAGTTTGTATTCCAAAAGGGCAGAACAGGGAATTCAAGTCCTACCCTGATTCCTTACTAGCATTCTCTTTATCAATTATCTAAACCCTCAGTTTCCTCGTCTATAAAAGGTGATTAACAATACCTATCTCAGAGGCGGGAAGTGCTGAATGCCTAGCACGGTGCAGTGGGGTCACTCAGAACCACACCGGCCTTACCCATGGAGGAGGGAGGTGTGAAATGCCTGTTCCATTTCTGAGGCAAATGACAACCAAAGCCTCAGGGTGCTTCCTGCCTTCCCACCTCAAACGCTCCCCTCGCCCCCGACCACACGCCCGAGGAGCAGGGCACCCGCGGCCAGTCCTTCCGGGGCGGCCCCCGCCGCGGCCCTGGAAGTCCCCCCTCTTCCCCGG